TTCACATAAGTGTTACTTATATCAACGAAATTTCTTTGAGCCTGAAAAACAAATAAATTATAATTAATATTACTGTAATACATATTTTTTTTTGCAAAATAAAAAAGCATACTACAGCACTTCTATAATTTAAGTTTAATATTTTGTCTTATAAAATTAAAAAGCATATGATTAATACAATCACCTTCAATTGCACTTATATAAGCATTATTATTAATATACATTTTATAATTATATAAAATAAATAAAAAGTAATCAATGACTTAAGATTAAATATACTGAAAGCTTTAAAAAAAAAAAAATTGAATATAAAGATCATGAGTTGTACAATTTTAATAATTTTTTCTTCTCCCTGGACACTTTTTGACATTTTAGATTTTCTTGATATGAGTGTTGACGCATTCTCATTTGTAAAAATTAAACTATAACTTCAGATGCTTCTTCAACTCTGTGAGAAATGCAGCTGAATTTAAAATTAAAATTATTTTGAGTGATTTCATTTATTACATTTTCAAATACATTGAAGTTATTACAATATTTTGCAAAAGCGTGTTCTACAATTCTTAAAAATTCAAATAAAGCAGCGTTTGGGTACATAAGCTTTCCATTTGTTTTTAAGGTCACTAGTTCAGCACAAGGATGTTCACTATCACCAGCTTTAAAAAAGCATATGCATTCATCACACTTTTATTTTTTTTAAATTTGTTTTGTCACATACCCACACACGTAATAAAGAATACAATCTCTAGTGCTATTTTCCATTGTGGAATCAACTTTAGGGAGCACATCACAAGGTTCCCATTGGCCCTCTTCAATCAGTTCATCCAATTTTGCTTTAAGTGTGTTAATTTTTTCAAATCTTTCAGATGATGTATCGTGGAAAATTTCTTTTAGATCTGATAATGAAATTTTAGGAGCATCAATGTTAGTAATAGTACAATTACCATGTTTTGGGGGTTTAAGAACGGAGTATACTGATAGAATTTTATACAAATGGATAAAAGTTTGGGTTGTAGGATGATCATTTGGTCCACATGACTGTCTAATGATACCAAAAAATTTCTGAAACAAAATAATAGGATAAAATATGAAATCATTTTAGATGGAGATTGTATAGGTATTATCATTGATTATAATTATAATATTATTACTTCAAGTGGGTCTTGGCACATTTTACCAGTTAACTCTTTCAGGCACGGTGGGATACCGTTTGTCCCACCTTAAAAATCACAGTTCCAGCACGGTGGTACAAAAAATAACCCACCTAATAAAGTATTTTTCCCCGATAACTTGTATTTATAATGTCACAATAAACGATATAAATAGTTTTAATAGCCTATCATGTGTAATGTGTATATTAGTATTAAATAAATCGAAAATTAATGCATTTTGAGGTATTATTAGCTATTTTTCGTATTTTTTTTTTTTCGACAACAACTAGACACTCATAATTTTGTTTGGCTTATATTACACTATATAGTTTATTTATATGAACGATATTATAACATATGATAGACTATATTATATAGTTTCATTCAGTGCAAGTTAAATCATTTTATCGATAGCGGTTCGTCTGTTACGACGCAAAAGTCAGGAGTACAAATTTTAACCCACCGTGCAGCAACTGTCTAGACTCGTGAGTATTATCTGTGAGCCGTATATTACCTAGTACCTATAATATATTACATAATAAATTGAATTATAGTGTTTGAAAATTTAAATTTTTAATTACAAAGGTAAAACAATTTATTTTTAATGTTACATTTAATAATAATATTAATTATCATACTAAATGATATATTATTCATATTTATTATATTTATTTATTTATTATTTCATATTATTTGGTGCATATTATTGCATTATGTGTAAACAACATTTTCCAAACACTTTATTTTCAATATATTATTTTATAAAGAAGCTATTATTTTTTTAAATTTCCATTATTCTAAAATATATTTTATTATATTTTAGTGTTTTTATTTTCAAAAATGAGTTCTCGCCTAAACATCGGTGAAATTTGTGATGTGCTATTTGAAGAAATTCCGTCTGATGACAATAGCATTACTTCTTGCGATGATTCCGATAATGATAAAGATTATTTTCCACCTTCTGGTGAGTCGAAAACGAAACCTGTCTTATTAGAACCTAGTGACGATGAAAGTGACGATGAAAATTCAGAAATTTTTAACTTAGACGATAGAAATATTTATTTGTTACCCTCGCCAATAAAGAATAAAAAGTATACTCGTAGTTCAACTCGTCAAAAATGTTTATCAAAAATAACTGAAATTAGATCTCGGACGGCTACACACCGACAATTATTTCCAAGTTCAGAAAATGTATCTTCGAATAACGAAAAAGTGTCATTGATGTATGATTTTCATTATTTACCTAGTACTTCTTCGGATATAAATAATGATTATCAGTGTAACATTGAATCTACTTCAATAAGTCCAGTAAATATTGAAACAGTTGAAACTGAGATTGAAACTCAACCAGTTTGGTAAAAAAAAAACGATATTTCAATTGATTTATTCCCATTTACAAGTCCAGAGGGCCCTACAACAGTAATACATGATTTATCAGTGTGTACACCAACAACCATTTATAAATGTTTATTTACTGATGAAATTGTTAATCAAATAGTTTATCATACTAATTTATATGCATATCAAAAACAATTGAAAACAGGAAAAGCTTTTATGCGAACTAATATGTGTGAAATGAAATGTTTTATTGGAATGCAACTTCTAATGGGTATCAAGAAGCAATGCAGTTATAGGGACTATTGGTCAACATCACCCGATTTACATGATCCTTATATAAGTTGTTTAATGCCAGTAAATCGATTTGGTTGGCTATTATCTCACTTACATTTAAATGATAATTCACTTATTCCGAAAAAAAATCAGCCTGGATATGATAAATTATACAAAATTAGGCCTGTTTCGCCAACGCCGGACTTACCTTGCTTGGCTCGTGGACGGCGATGACTCGTACCCTGTCGAGGATGGGGTTACCACAATATTAAAATAAATAATACATCAATTCAGAATTGTGAAGAATAACAAAATACTAATATTTTTAACCTTACACAAAATAACAAATATAATAATATACATTAACAATATAAGGAACGGTACCGTAAAGGAGACAAGGACGGTGATCTGAACCTGTAAACCGAAGCTGGTTGATATTGACGACTTGAGCGGAGCTGGTTGACGTGGTAGACTGGACCGGAGCTGGTTAATATTGNAATTGACGAATGTCTAATCGACATAATATTGTTTTTTTGAATTTTTGTAATATGAGTAGAAACATTTGACCTAAATAGACGCTTAATGTTACCGTGCGATGACATGAGAGATAATAAATTATATAATTGCTGATAAGCAGAAAACCCATATTTATGTATAGTTAAAATAAACCCATTTACATTTTTTTTAGACAAAATTGTATATGTTAGTTAGTTGGTGGTGGTGGCGGTGAATGCACTACTATTTCCTATAATAGATATAAGGCCGCGCGCACATTGTATACGAATTTGTTTCGTACGAAAACGTACGAATACTGGTCGTACGAATTGATTGCGCACACTGAATACGTTTTTTTTCCGTAAAATAGTCAGTGTTCCGGCGATATCGCAATCGTGACGTCCTTAGAACGCAATGAATAATTTGTACCTTCAAGATAATTCTCTTCTAATCCGGAGACGGCTGCGTCGTCGTCATTATCGTAGAACCGAATGGGTACGGGAAATATATTTAAAAAGAAATGAATTCGGTGAATTTCATCATATTATGGAAGACTTATATAATGACCACATACTGTTTCATGGCTATTTACGCATGAAGAAAGAAACTTTTGAATATATTTTAAACTTTATACGACCTAACCTGACAAAATTCAGTAACTTTCGCGACACAATATCTCCTGAAGAACGATTAATAGTAACTTTGAGGTAAGGAAATAATATATTTAATTATAAAAATAAAAAATTCAACACTTAAATTTTTTTTTAATAATTATCATATGATTTTTATTGATAAGACCTCCTCATTAAAAGCAAAACATATACATATAAATTAACTAATTATTATTGTTTGGGTTGAATTGCGTGACGTAGCGAGTAAGATCATCTTCTGGCAATTGTTGAAAAACACTGTATTGACTCGAATCACTAGAATTATCATATAATCCCACCGATGTTATAGAATGTTGTTCATCCATAAGAACTTGCTGTAATTTTGCTCGTACCATTAGTTTACGATGTTTAGGGATATCTTTTAAAAATGGTAGAAGGCTCATTAGAAACTGAGCATCAGGATCATTTGCACTTTTTTGAAAGCATTTTAAACTTCTCTTCTTCAATTTGCAATAGTCTTGTATCAATATCATCTGGCTGACTCCTTTTAATTTTTTTTTTTTATGGAGGTTTAAATGTTTTCTTTGGAGTTTGTTCGTCATTTACTTCCGGCGATTGACAGTGGGATGACGAAGCCGTATAGTTTGAACTTGTACTTGTTTGTGTCAATACCTCCTCATCAGATATGTCACTGTTATCGGGAACGCTACTTTTAAGATCCCTTCGAGACATTGTACCTCGAAGAAACAACAGATTCTTAAAATAAGGCCATCTGGAGTCAGTTTCTGAAACAGCTGCTTGACCAGATTTTTTGCTGTTGACTTTTTTAAGTTCTTTCCCGAAAGTGTCTCGTAATCCTCGCCACTTTTTTTTTAGCTCATCAACTGAAATAAAAAATACATACTTGTAAAATACATTCCTCGTGGTCCATTTCCCCAGCCCCCAAATTCGAATTTTCTAATTTTTTCCCAGCCCTTCACTCAGAATCTAAAATGTTTATTATTTCAGGTTTTTAGCCACAGGTTCATCGTTCAGAGCTCTTGCATATTCATTTAGGATTTCAGACAATACCATTGGTTGTATTACACATGAAACATGTAAAGCTATTTGGGAAAATCTTTCTGCCATTCATATGAAGTTTCCATCAAGCGAAGATATGGACAATATTACTAATGATTTTTGGACCAAATGGGGATTTCCTAATTGCTCTGGTAGCATTGATGGTAAACGTATACGAATTAACGCACCAGTGCATTCTGGCAGCATGTTCCGTAATTATAAGTGCTTTTTCTCAATTGTATTGCAAGCTGTTGTGGATGCAAACTATAGATTTCTTGCTATAGATGTGGGAGCCTATGGTAAAGAGAGTGACGGTGGAATATTTTCGCATTCAAATCTTTCACAACAATTGGAAAATGGTGCTCTCAACGCAAACCAAGAAAAAGTATTACCTGGAAGTAACATAGCTTTGCCTCACTTCTTAGTTGGTGATGAGGCTTACCCGTTAAAAACATATCTAATGCGCTCTTATCCGCAAAAAAATTTGGGCCCAGAAGAAGAAATATTTAACAAACGCTTAACAAATGCAAGGCAAGTTGTTGAGTGTGCCTTTGGTATTTTGAGTAGCAAGTGGCGATTGTTATTAAAAGCAATTGAGGTAAATCCCGACCGTGCGGATGTCATAATAAAGTGTATATGTTTACTTCATAATATTATAATTGATAAGGAAGGTATTCATGATTTATCTACGGAAATACGGCGACCACTAAATGAGAACAGAAATAGATTCATGACTGCAGGAGAAAATAGAAGCGCATCGAGAGCTCGGTATGTCAGGGAAACACTTAAAAACTATTTTTATCAAAATAGGTACAATTAATAATTAATTATCATATACTCCATCTGTTTATCATAAATCAACGTAATAATTTGTAATAACAACGTAATAAACAATATATTTTAATAAATTGTATAGTATTTAGTAAAATCTAATAAATTAGTATTATCTAATATTATTAAAAGATTTAGTATTAAATAAATTTAATAAATTGTATTTACCAGGTATTTCCATTTCTTCGGATATTTCTCGCCATGCCTTGCGATGAAGGTCACGTAAGTGATACCTTGAATCGCTTTGATCCCACAAACACATATGTTGGTAAATTAAATTAATACATTTTTCGTTATCCATTTTATTTAATTTATCCATTGCCGGCGTACGAACGTTAATGAAATCCGGACAAGTTCGGATTGTTTTCGTACGTCAAAGTTACACATACGTATACGTACGAACAAATCGCACCCAGTCTGCGCGCTCACATAGTATTTGATAGGTCGGGATCGTTCGTGCGTGTACGTACAAGTTCATACGAATCAAATTCGTACGAAAACGCATCCAATGTGCGCGCGGCCTAACGCAAAATCATAAGAGTACGATAATTTTATTGTGTTTTATTTTTATCACGAGATTTACACAATATTTGAAGTAAAATTATTTTTAGATTATTTTATACGCGTAAACGCGTTGTAGAAATTTTTTTTTTTTGAATGCTCTGTATTATAATTATATGGTTTAGATTTAGACAGTAACAGCTGTGTAGTGTGTACTGTGTACTGTACTACTGTGTAGGCACTTTATGTTAGAGGTACATGTTTATTCCTATTAATTTTTATTCGTATTTTCGTAAATTGTAATAACTAATAATGGACAGAAAAAAAAGTGATGTATGGAATCACTATACGGTTATTAATAGTGAAAAGGCGAAATGTTCGTATTGTTCAAATTCGGTATCGTTAAAGGTGGATCAACTACAAACTTAAATAAACATTTAAAACGAAATCACATAATTCAATACAATAGTAGAAAACATCCACGTATTGATGAAATTAATGAACAAAATGTCGATGACCCAAGTAAGCAACATAGTCAAAATACGTCTGTAACAAATAATGATTAAAACCAACCTTCTACATCAATCAATGCAATTAATCTAATAAATAAATCTCGTCCCTTACAAAAAAGTGTAGATTCTTATTTAATTGTTAATAAACCACTTTCTGTTTCAAAACAAAAATCAATTGATGACCAACTAGGAATTATGATTTCAAAAGAGTTCCAACCATTTAGTTTAGTAGAAAATATTGAATTAAAAAAATTCATCCATTTATTAAATCCTGGGTATCAGTTACCATCGAGAAAAACTGTTTCGAAATGAAATTTTCCACAGTTGTATGAAAAAGCAAAAGAAAAAGTTAGAAATAATTTATTGAATGCCAAATATATTTCATTTACAACTGATGGCTGGACTTCCCTAAATAATAATAGTTTTATTGCTGTCACTGTACATTTTATAGATCCAGAAGAGTGTATTTTAAAAACATTTTTACTTGGGTGTTTCAACGTGGTGGAGTCCCACACAGCTGTAAATTTGTCATTATTTTTAAATTATTGTTTTAAAGAGTGGAACATAACAGAAAAAGTAAAAGTTGCTGTAAGTGACAATACTGCGAATATAACATCAGCAATCGGCATGAATCAAAATTGGCGCCATATACCATGTCTAGCACACACATTAAATCTAATTGCACAATCCGGACTAGGTGAAATAAAACACGTTCACAAAAAAGTAAAAACCATCGTTGAATACTTTAAACGAAGTACAAAAGCAAATTTAAAACTAAAAAATTCACAAAAACAAATGGGGTACCCGGAATTAAAGTTAATTCAAGACGTTTGTACCCGGTGGAACTCTACGTATGACATGTTTCAACGGTGTATCGATATTAAAGAACCTCTTATGAGTACAATTGCAATAATAGGTAATATGGATAATTTAATTCACGAAGACTTTGAACTAATAAAACACTNCCGGAGCTGGTTGACGTGGTAGACTGGACCGGAGCTGGTTAATATTGTTGATTGTATTATACCCGAAACTACTCGGTTCAATACGCTGATCGCTAGCTGCGACGACGTCGTCTTCTGACAATAACGTCCGAAACCAACTATATTGAAAAGGCTTCAGAAGCGGCGGTGCAACAAAGGGCACAGACTAAAAGGCCGTAAAAGAGAACCACGTGTAGTGAAACGGAGAGCAGATATGTTTTTGTAGAGCGATGTACACACACATACAGCCAAGAACGACGTATCTCGTCAGGAGTCTCAAAAACAACACGCGCACACGGCGGGCCGACTCGCCGGCTAGACGCCGTTCGATCCAGCTGATCAAACGACGACTGCTTTCTCGATCAAGGGGGAATGTGGCAAACAGTGTGGCAACATCCGCACCAGTGACCGATCATAATAGACAACTTGCGCGAACAAGGCCATTTATACAAACCCTTCTTAACAACTTTCAAAGAGCGTATAATCCATCCAAAATAATTGCGATTGACGAAAGTATGGTCAAATTCACTGGTCGAAATTCTAACAAACAATATATGCCGAAAAAACCGATAAAGAGGGGATTTAAAATTTGGTGTTTAGTTGACAAACAAGGTTATTTATGGAACTTTGAAATTTATACGGGAAAAGTTGGTGAAAAATCTGAAAAACAATTAGGTGCTCGTGTAGTAAAACAACTATCTCAACCTTTACAAGAAAAAAATCATTGTTTATTCTTTGACAACTATTTTACCAGCTACCCTCTAATGACATATCTAAAATCAAAAAATATAAATGCATGTGGAACAGTCAATCTTACAAGAAAATTTTTACCAGCATTGAAAAACGATAAACATTTAAGATTTAACATTAGGAGAATATGATTGGTCCATAGATGAAGAATCTACATCAATTGTTAAGTGGCGTGACAAAAGAATAGTGAGTTTGTTGTCAAATTTTCATAACCCAACGGAAACTACGCAAGTTCAAAGACGATGTAAAGATGGATCAACTACAATGGTGTCATGTCCTATAGTATTAAGCGAATATAATAAACATATGAATTGCGTAGATAAATTCGACCAAAATAAGAAATCCTGTCAAATAGATCGAAAGGCCAAAAAATGGTGGCACAGACTTTTTTTTCATTTCATTGATGCGGCAGTAGTTAACTCTTACGTCTTATATAAATTACAATCAGGTAACAATATAGTTATTTTTATTTATTTATTAATTACTTATAATAATTGTATCAAAAACTTTATTTACAATAATGTAGGTATGAATATAACTATGAAGAATTTTCGTCGCGAAATTTCTAGCGATTTAGTTTCAAAAACGCTGGTCGAAAAATGATCGATTCAGAACGTTGCAAAAGTACAGGCAGTAGCTGTGAAAAAACATAAGCCACATGTAAACTCTACGATAAGATTCGAGCAAGCTGCTCATCAACCTGAAAGAGGAACAAGGAGGAGATGTGCAAAATGTAGTACCAAACAAAAGGAAGTTCGAACGGAATGGGTATGCTCAGTATGCGATGTTCCTTTGTGTTTGGGAAAACAAAAAAATTGTTTTGCGCTATATCATAAATCATTATAATAGTACATTTTAATTGTCTTTTAACTTTTATAATTAAGTCATTAATGTAATTTTAATTTCATGATATTATATTATACATATAAGTGCAGTATAACTAGTAGGTGTAATTTTTTTTTACATTTCTGTTCTTCAGTATTTGTAATATTAATAAAAGGATGATAAATATTTAATTGTTTTTGTATAATACTTATACTTTACGGGCCTATTCCTCGAAATTATACATATAATACAATACATTTATTACATAATTTGTATACAAAATACAAATAATCTATAAAATAAATATATAATAAAAAGTGCTTATGAAATTTGTATACTTTGGTAGTATAACATAAAACTAAACACTTAATGCATGGTGGGACATACGTCATCCCACCCACGATAACTCTTTAAAAAAATATTTTAATATTTTTTTAACACCTAAGTCTTATTATTTACTTGAATAATAATGGATTATACCACATAAATTATAATTTTTCTTAAAAAAAATCTTCTGTGCAATATAGGTCAAAATAATTATGAAACCCCGTGCATGAAAGAGTTAAGACATATTCGTAGCCACATGATTCCAACAAATATTTTGAAAGATCAATCGTTGAACTTATTGTAACTCTAAGCCCTTCAACTGTTGATTTTGTTAAAAATTCTTTAGGACAAATATTACCAGCAACCATCTCATCTTCCCAGCAATCAATGTAATGCAATGCTTTTAAAAACCCCTATGTTAACAAATATATTAATATAATAAGTTAAATATTTAAAACAATTATAATACAATTATAGTTAATTTAATTATTATTTCTTTACTTGAAATCCTTCTTCATTGTCCAGTTTAAGACCTTGCCATGTCAAATTGCGATTAAAATTGTCAAATAAATCGTTAATAAATTCAACAAAATCAGCAGTTTCATTAGAATCTTTGAGCATTAGATTCCCTTTTGATTCATAAAATCTTATTGCGTTTGCCATACTCTTACTAAACACTTAGTAAATAAATATAAAAAGTATACATATTAATATATGGTTATCATTTATTAATACATACATTGATCTGTATTATTTACCTGAGTGCAAAGGCGAACACGCATTTTTGCCATTGGAGTTAAAACAAGGTGTTGCGGTGTTATTCTCGGTATAAGTCTTAAATTTCCGGGGTGTTTAATGTCTTCCTTATAGACTTCTTTAAAATATTCCCATACAATGTGTTTTGAATCTGATTTGAGCTATAAAAAAGATAAATGGTGAGTTTTATTTGTATACCAATTACCATAGTTAATATTTAATTTTTAAATCAAATATTAATTTAAAAAAATGATATTTACTCTTAAGTGTTTGCTATTGTATAAACGATTCCTGATGCATTTAAACAAGTGTACAAAATCAGATAAAACATAAACATTTAGTATCTGGATAAATTGGATGCTGGAAGTAATATTTTAAATTGGCTTTAGAACCATCAATTCCAAACTCTTTCCACATACGGCGGTTTGTGGTGGCACCATTACAAATTATACCATCGACATATATTCCAATATTTTCTAGTAACGTTATGGATTTTAATATTAGCTGAGCTATCATCACACCTAAAACAAAAAAATTAGAAAATTAATTGTAATTTTACTTATTAAAAAAATATCTCACAACAATAATTTATTAATTTCATTAAGTGCATTTCGTAAATTTATAAATTTTAATCAAACCTTTAACTTCTCCTTTTGATGCAAAACATCCAATTGTTTGACAGAAATTTGACCCTAATGACTGCCACATAAACACAAGAGCATGATTTGCATACTCTTTGTGAATAGATTCAATTGGTTCATCACCATAATCTTCTAGACCAGAATATGTGAGATTGGAAGAATTAACAGCCAAACTTTTTCGCAAATTTATTGAATCAAATAGCAACACCCCATGTTTATTTATTTCTGGAAAGTCTTTAGTTTTTTTTTGTAAAAGGCGCAAGAAATCTTGATCAAAACCACAAGTTTATTTTATCGATGACAAATGTTTTCGTACTGTTTTGGGATGAGGCAGTGGAAGTAAAGCACTAGTTCTTAAATATTTATATGCAGAGGGAGACCGTATGTTGAATAAAAGACACAACATTAGCCAATTTTCACTGTACCGTCGTGATTTTTGGTTTTTAACTCTGCTAGCTGCAAAACATTCCATAACCATAGATTTTTGAGATTCTTTCAAGTAACCTAATTTATTTTGAATAAACTGTTCGTTGCATTCAGCTATATTTTTGTGTAAATTAATCGACTCCTGTAGTTTTGTAATTTTTTTCTTTGTCCTTACTACAGTCCTTTGAAGTGAATAGGTTTTTTTCCTAATTTCATTAATTTTATTTTTTTTTGTGGGAGACACTTCAATCAATTCTTTTGAACCAAGCGTCTTTCTTCTTTCTCTACACTTCAATATATTTATTAAGGATTTACATTTTATACAACACATGATTTTAGAAGGTTTTTCAATTATCAGACTACATTGTAGGTGTTGAAGTAAGCCTCTATCAGAAACAGTACATAAGGCTTTGGAAAACTTTGGAAACTTGCTAGCTTCAGGACCACCATAACATAGATTTATAGCTTCAAACTTTTTAAGATTCTCTATAAATGTTTTAATGTCTTTTGCCACTTCAATACCAGTTTCTATAATTTCAATTAATTTCCCATTAACGGCGAAAGTCGATACACCTTTTACATTCACTGTCACATATTTCTCAATTGTAGGTATTGACTTTATTCTTGAAAATAAAACAAAGCACAGATCCTTATTCTGTTCATTTATAGGTAATTTTGTTCATGTACTGAATAATTGGAAGTCCACTAATTCATGGTACAAATTGTCTATAACATAAAATTAATAAATATTAATAACTAGAACTAATAAACATAAAATCATAGCATGTGACATAAAAATTAATTATTTAAACTATTTATAATTTATAATATATTTATATATTTATATGATTATAAATGTATATCTATGTATTCATAATTAGACATAATTCTGTTCTTATATTTTTTTTCTCTTTGTTTTTGCTGTTATATTTGTTTATTATTGTATATCAGTTGTAAATAATATTAGTAAAATTAACTGAATCCCCAAAATACCTCTCCACCTCTAACTCAAGCTTTGCTTATAGGAGGTAGATAAACCATAATAATATGTATGATTGTATGATTATAGAAAGTAATAAATGGTTATTTTAAATAAAAAAAGAACCTAGATATTATATTAGTTAACAGTAATTATAACTAATTAAATAATTATAAATAATTTTGCACTAAATAAAATACCTGCTTTTATAAAATTAATTTCATGAATTTGTAAAAATATAATTTATTATTAATAGGTATTTATTCTCCTTGGTAGGTTTACCTTCAATGATAGATAACTTTGCAGGAGTTTCACATCCAGAATTAACATAATCATTATCATTTTTTGAAATTCGGATAGCAGGAAGGAAGCTTCCTGATGTTTTTTTTAGTAGACAAGTAAGCAGGACCGGGAAACTGCGAAGGAATGACTCCTTCTTTAAGTCTCCATCTTTTATATGGTATCTAAAATTGAATTAATTTGAGAATATAAATAATATTAATTATTATTATTATTTACCTTTACTGGGCCAGATATCCAAAATTTTATTATATCACCTTCGTTAAAATGTTTTTCACAAACATGAGAATTGTTATTTAAAACAAAATTTTTTCTGGGTATACATTTCTGCCATTTTTCTCTCAACTGATGATCTTTAGGAACACTGAATAGGTGTAGTTTTTCGGGATTACTCTTGTAACCCGAAGTACAACCAACTATGATATACTTACTCATTATTATAATTAAAACACTAAAAGTTAAACACTTTAATAGTAAACGTAAACGTTGTAAATATAGAACAAAGATATGTCCGTAAGGCATGGACGTAAGACGTTCTACAATCTACATGTAATTATCTGGTGTGTGACAACTAGCGCCATTAGTTCACTTAGTCGCCACTTAGACACGGCGTATGTATGGGTCGTATCCAGTGTTGAGAATAGATAACGAAAATTCCATCTAGATAAGATACAGATAATTTTATAAAAAATTATCTAGATACAGATAAAGATAAATATATTTTACATTTATCTAGATAAGATAAAGATAATCTAACCTTTATCTAGATAATATTATAGATAAAATTATTTTTTTTAGTATTTTTAAATTGAAAATGTGCTTAGTTCTTTACCTATGTGAACATAAA